GGAACGGTGGTGATGGAATGGGAATGATGGCACTGCCATAGGGACGACGGAGCTGGGATAAGGACGGCGGAGCTGGCGTGGGAATGGTGGTGCTGGAATGGGAACAGTGGCACTGGAATGGGAATTGTGGTGCTGGAATGGGAACGGTGGAGTTGCCATAGGGACGGCGGAGCAGGAACAGGAACAGTGGCACTGGAATGGGAACGGTGGCACGGGGATGGGAATGGTGGCACTGACATAGGGATGGAGAGCTGGGAGAGGTTTAGGCACTGGAAAGCAAATGGTGGCGCTGGAATGGGAACGGTGGTGCTGGAATGGAAATGATGGCGCCAGAATAGGAACAGTGACACTGCCATAGGGACGGCGGAGTTGGGATGGGAATGGTGGCACCGGAATGGAAATGGTGGCGCTGGAATGGGAGCGGTAGCGCTGGAATGGGAATGGTGGTGCTGGAATGGGAATGGTGCACGGCTATAGGGACAGTGGAGCTGTGATGGGAACGGTGGCACCGGAATGGAAATGGTGGCGCTGGAATGGGAAAGATGGCGCCACAATGGGAACAGTGGCGCTGCCGTAGGGATAGTGGAGCTGTGATGGGAACGGTGGCACCGGAATGGAAATGGTGGCGCTGGAATGGGAGCGGTAGCGCTGGAATGAGAACAGTGGTGCTGGAATGGGAATGGTGACACGGCTATAGGGACAGCGGAGCTGGGATGGGAACGGTGGCACCGGAATGGAAATGGTGGCGCTGGAATGGGAACGATGGTGCCGCAATGGGAACGGTGGCGCTGCCGTAGGAACAGTGGCACTGCCATAGGGACGGTGGAGCTGGAATGGGAATGATGGCACCGGAATGGGAACGGTGGCGCTGGAATGGGAATGGTGACACGGCTATAGGGATGGTGGAGCTGGGATGGGAATGGTGGCACCGGAATGGAAATGGTGGCGCTGGAATGGGAACGATGGCGCCAGAATGGGAACGGTGGCGCTGCCGTAGGGTCGGCAGAGCCGGGAGGAGGACGGAGCAGCTGGGATGAGGGTGRTGGATCCATCATGGGGATGGCGGGAATGGGGACCGAGCACCGGTTTGGGACATTTGGGACAGGGACCCCAATCCCGACCCCAAAGCCGCTTTCCCACCGCGGAGCCACGGGACATGGCCAAGGCGCCATCCCGGAACGCGGCACCGAAGGAATCCCGGGGACTTGGGGACAACTAGGGTGGCACTGGGTGTGGCGACACCGTCCCCACACCCCGAACCCCGCGGGCTGGCGCGGAGCTGCCGGGAAGGAACGGGGCCGTAGGCGGATCAGCGGCTTTTCCGGCGGGATCAGGGCGCCGGGAACCATTTTGTGTGGGCAGAGCCGTGGCGGTGACGATGCCTGGGCCACGTCCGCGTCCCCATGCCCGTGTCCATGCCCACGCCACAGCCCCGGAACAACAACGGCCAGGGCTGTGGGGCCGCCGGACACGGGGCTGCAGCTGCGGCCTCGGCTCGAGCTCCAGCATTATTTATTGTTATCCCCTCGGCAGCTGCGGCAGCTCCGGAGGGACGGCGGGAAAAAGGGCACGGCCGCGGTGCCAGCGCGGCAGAGGGGACACGAGACCCCCGGTACCAGCCACGCTGGCCTTGTCCAGGGTAGGTTTTGGGATCAGGCTTTTGGAACCCCCTCCTGAGAGGCTTTTCCCACCCTGGAGCCCCCAACTCGTCCCAGGTCCTGCCGGAGCTGCCGGGGGCTTCCGCAGGCCTGGGACGCGCTGGTGGGGCCGTGGTGACATGTCCTGCTCTTGGGGACCGGGGTACAGCTGGTGGCACCAGAGCCAGGATGGAGACTTGGATTGAAATCCCCCAAAAGAGCGCAGGACACCCAAATCCACAGGGACAGAGACACCACAGGACCCCCAAATCCACAGGGACAGGGACACCYYAGGACSCCCCAAATCCACAGGGACACTCTTCCTGGCACAGGGACACCCTCACTGGCACAAGGACACTTTTCATTAGCACAGGGACACCCCATCCTGGCACAGGGACACCTCATGCCTACCGGGGTTCCCGCACCACCACAGCTGCCAGGACCTTCCGGGGCACACACCCCCCGTGCCAGCCCCCAGCATGTCCCCTCTGTTCCCCGAGGTAGCCGTGGTGGCACCTGGGGACACCCCTGGGGACAGAGAAACTCTCAAAACCTTCCCAGATCACCCCAAAGGCCACCGGGGTCCGTTCACGTGGTCTGCGGCCACCGGGCCCAGCGCTGGGCCAGCCCCGGGAGGTGACCGAGACATCCCAGGATGTGTCCCCAGCCCTGAGCAGCCACTGCGGTGACAGCGGGACCGGCCCCGGTTCTGCCCGGGCCCCTCGGGGTCCTTGTCCCGTTTAACCCCGAGAACACATCTCCGACGAGATGGAGGTGGCCAGGAGGTGGCCGAGAGGACCCTGCCGAGGTGAGGGGGTCTCCAGGACCCCCGGCTTCACCCAAAGCACCGTGGGCGAGCACCGGGACCGCACCGGGAYCGCACCGGGACCACACCGGGATGCGGCAGCTCCGCGGCCGCCGCTCCTCACCGGGGCCGGGGCTGGCGGGGCCCCTTTCCCAGAGCAGGCAGCGAGGGCAGAACTCGAAATGTTAAAAAAACGTATTTTAAAATATAAAAAATTWAACATTTTAACCACTGGCTATGCACAAAACCCAGCGGGAGGCTCTGCCCGGGCCCAGCTGCTGTTCGGCCCCGGCCCTGCCCGGTGATGGGAGCCCGGCCTGGGCGGGTGGGGACCGGCGGCTCCGTGTCCCCGCAGCCCCGGTGGCCCCGCCGCGTCCCCCCGCGCTTCGTTTCGCCTCAACCCCGGTGATTTGCGGCGTTTTCTCCCCGCCACCATTTTGTCCGCACCGTGGCGGCTGCAGCAAGATGGTGAAACCGGGCGCTCACGGTGAGGGTCCCCGGGGCCGGCGGGAGCAGAGACCCTGTCCCGGCCTCGGGCAGCGACCCCCGGCCCTTYCGCAGCCCCGGGACCGTCGGGGCGGCCTCGGTAGGGCTGGAACCGGCGGAGGAGAGGCCTGACCCCAGCCTGACACCGGCAGGACCGGCGGCGGCCCCGCTCGGCGACCCCCGGGAACGCGGGAACACCCCGGGAGGGACCCCGGGGCTCGGCCCCGAGCGCTGCCCGCTGCTCGGTGGCTGTGCCCGGCTCGGACTGGGACAGTCAGCGAAAGGCGCCAATCGCGACAACCGGGAAAGAGGCTTCGGTGAGTGCGGGGCGCTTTTCCGGGATGCCCGAGCCCAGGACAACGATGGAACAGGAGGAGGGAGGTCACGGCCGCCGCTCCGGTCCCTGCCGCGCTGCCCGAGCGCCGGGCTGGGCACCGGGAGGCCTCGGCCCTGATCGCCGAGCGGCCGCCGAGCAGCTCCGGGCTCCGGCAGTGGCGGAGGAGCGGCGGGGACGCGGAGCATCCCCGGGATGCCGGAACCGCGGAGCGCTCGGGACCCGCCCGCCAGCGACACCCGCGCACCGAGGCTCCCCAAACTTCTCGGGGTTCGCCACGAGCCGCAACTGGTCCCGGAGAGCGCCGGGCCGGCGGGGACTGAGCGCGGGCGGCGGGGAGGGATGMGGGATGCGGGACGCGGGATGCGGCGGCTCCAGGGAGCGCCGAGCCCCAGCCGGGACCGAGCCGGTGATATTATAAAGGGGGAAAAAGAAAAAAAAAATAAACCCCCCCTCGCCCGCCGCCGCTCCGTGACGCTTTTCTCCTGCGACATCGCTTCCAACGCCGAGCTGATGCTGTCCCCCCGCTCCCGCCGCCCGCGCGTCCCCCGCGGGGCTCCGCCGGCTCGGGGGCTCCGTGACCCCGGGGCTGTTCCCCTGGAGCCCTCCCGGCCGCCCGCTGGCCACAGCCCCGCTCCGAGCCCTCTCCCCGCCGAGCCGGGCTGGGGCAGCGGGCCCGGTCCGTGCCGCACGCAGCGGAGCCGGGGCAGAAGCGGCGGGGCCGGGAGGCCGGAGGTGGCGGGCGGGCAGCGCCCGGGAGCGCCCGGGATGCGCTGGAAGCGGTGCCGGGGATGCCCCAGACTCGGAGCGGGAACCGCCGGCCGGGGAAGCGCGGAGCGGGGCCGGGAGCGGGGAGCGTGCCCGTACCTCGCACCAGGATGCGGCGGCAGTAATCCGCCTCGCCGGTCCCCGACGGGCTCTCGGTGTCCGGGGCGCACTGCTTGGAGGAGCCGGGGCTGACCGCCGACGTTCCCGGGATGTCCTTGAAGCCGCCGCCGNGGGATGCGGGACGCGGGATGCGGCGGCTCCAGGGAGCGCCGAGCCCCAGCCGGGACCGAGCCGGTGATATTATAAAGGGGGAAAAAGAAAAAAAAAATAAACCCCCCCTCGCCCGCCGCCGCTCCGTGACGCTTTTCTCCTGCGACATCGCTTCCAACGCCGAGCTGATGCTGTCCCCCCGCTCCCGCCGCCCGCGCGTCCCCCGCGGGGCTCCGCCGGCTCGGGGGCTCCGTGACCCCGGGGCTGTTCCCCTGGAGCCCTCCCGGCCGCCCGCTGGCCACAGCCCCGCTCCGAGCCCTCTCCCCGCCGAGCCGGGCTGGGGCAGCGGGCCCGGTCCGTGCCGCACGCAGCGGAGCCGGGGCAGAAGCGGCGGGGCCGGGAGGCCGGAGGTGGCGGGCGGGCAGCGCCCGGGAGCGCCCGGGATGCGCTGGAAGCGGTGCCGGGGATGCCCCAGACTCGGAGCGGGAACCGCCGGCCGGGGAAGCGCGGAGCGGGGCCGGGAGCGGGGAGCGTGCCCGTACCTCGCACCAGGATGCGGCGGCAGTAATCCGCCTCGCCGGTCCCCGACGGGCTCTCGGTGTCCGGGGCGCACTGCTTGGAGGAGCCGGGGCTGACCGCCGACGTTCCCGGGATGTCCTTGAAGCCGCCGCCGSTTCCGCCGCCGCCGCCGCCGGCGCGCAGGGCGCTCTCCAGCTCCGCCCGGGTCGGCGCCTTCTCCCGGGCCCGCCCGGTGGCCGCGGGCTCGGCCAGCAGCACGGGGCTCCCGCCGGGCTCGGCCCCTCCATCGCTCATCCCTGCGGGCGCCGCGGCGGGATCAAACATCAGGAGGGAGACAGAGACACGGGGAGAGGGAGAGAGGAGGCAAGGCTGGGCGGGGGGGATGGGAGGGAGCCCCCCCCAACACTCCCCAGACCCCTTCCCCTCCCCGCCCCTGCCCGGCCCCCCCGGGGCTCGGCGCCCCGGCTCACCCCCATGGCCGGGGACCGCCGGGGGCCGTCGCCTCCCGCCTGTCGCCCTCTCCCACCCGGGGGGCCGGCATTTAAAGCGCGCCCCCCTCCCCGCCCCAGCGGCCGGGGGTGGTACCGGGGGTGGGAGGGGGGGGGGACCCGTCGGGGCGTCCCGAGAGGGTGCGAGGGTGGGGGGGGAAAGGAGTTTCAAACTTTGACAGGCGGCGGAGCCCCCCCTGCACCCCCTCCCCAGCTCCACCTCCCGTTTTGGGCACCTCGCTCCGGGCAAACTTGAGGCGCTCCGGCCGCAGCCGCTGCCCTTCCATGGAGCGCCGGTCCCGGTGCGGGTCCCGGTGGCGGTGCCGGTGACGGTGCCGGTGCGGGCGGGAAGCGGCGGGAAGCGGGCTGCCGGGAGCCACCGCCGGTGCCCGGTCTCGCCGCGCTGCGCTCGGGATTCGCGTGCGGGGAAATCAATACCGGGAGACTGGGGGAGATGATTTTAGGGGGGTGGGAGACGGGAGGGGAAAGGGAGGCCGAGGGGAGGGAGCTGCGGAGGAAGCGGCCGGGGGTGGGACCGGCGAAGAAGCCGGGTCCTTATTCCTCCGGCCCGGCCCTCCCCCGCCGCCGCGCTCCGCTGCGCATCCCCCGGCGGCCGCCGCCGGAGCCGGCAGCGGGGAGCGAGCGGCCGAGCCCCC